CTGGAACATGTACGACTTGCCTGCAGCCCAAGAGAAGAGGACCTCCGGTGCTGGTCTGCAGTGACTAGATCAATGACTGCAGGAAAATAGATGTATAGAAAAATATATATTTAAAAAAAATGGGAGGGGCTCATAAAGAAAGGTGGGGCAGAAAATGGGGCAGGGGGGGTACTGGAGTTGGAATTTAAGCCAGAGACAATCAGACACCTAACATTTTCAGGAATAGACAAGTCAACCTACACAATTCCATCTGTGCAGCTTTCCCTTAAAGTGGTGCTAAGGTTACATATTTGATACTAATGAACTTTATTAGTCAGTAATGTTTTTTTTATCATTAATTGATTGTGATTGTTTTATTCAGCAATAAATGTGAATTTCAGCGCATAGCAGATCCATGAAATTGGTGTCTAGTTAAAACCTTTTTTTTTTTACTCTCATCTCTAAATTGGTCTGTCATATGAGCAGTGACATTTGCTGTTAACCCTTCAGTTACTGGCAATGGCTCTTCAGCTCTGAGGGATCTGCCCAGATAATACCTCTGTAACATGCCTCCGATTAGGCAGGGAAATCTTCCTTCACTAATTTCTTTTCTTGGAAAACAAACACCAGCGAGACAGCGAGCTCGACGTTCCCCAGCAAGGACCTAACCTGATGAAGAGCTGATAATTGCTTGGGTCTCATTAGAGGCAGATGGTCCAGCAGACTAATGTATGAGATGTAATGGCACACACTTTGAACAATAAGACATGACAGAGCATCTGTTATGTGAAGCTACTGCGGCACTAGTAATAATTAATGGGAGTGAAACACTATTTATAGAAAAGCCAGCAATAACAAATAAAAAAAAAAAAGAAAAAGGAGAAAAACCATGAGGATATCACACTTCTGAGCATTAATAGCTACTTGTTTACCGAGGTAAATTACTATTCATTGTCAAGTTTGTGGGAGGAATGTTTCAGTTTTGCTATTCAAAGCATTTCGAAGGAAACTCCAACCACACAACTAAATACGAAGTTAAAATATGCATATGCTCTAGAACTAACTATAGGCATCAGCTGGAGGACACGCACAAGTAATCAAAGCATAGAAAGATATTTAGTACCAAAGGACCTTCCACAGACTTGCACATTTAGACTTGCTGGATACCCTTGGAGTTGGTTTATCTTGGGGAAAATCAATAAAAAACAAACTTGATGATCCATTTTTGTCTAGAGCAGGGTTGGGTGAAGGTCATCTTATATCTGAAAACACAAACATGGTACCTTCCAAGAGGCTTGTAAAACAATGCTCTTACTCTAAATACTCACCCACTTCTGCTGTCCTAGGTGGGGCTTTTTTCTCAGCTGGAACTTGGTGGCAGGGGCGGACTGACCATTTGGAAACTCGGGCACTGCCCGAGGGCATGTGGTCAGTAGGGGGCCCCATGAGATGCCCCTGGTACCTTTTTCATAGGCTTTTTTGAGTTTGGGCAAGGGCACAGGGGCCCCATGATCCCCTATTGCCCGGGGGCCCCATGAGTTGTCAGTCCGCCCCTGCTTGGTGGAACTCAGTTCCACCACCTCTAACTCAGGCCCTCTGCTCCCTGCTCACCTCTATCACTTGTAAACAAAGAAGTCCGGCTTCTGTGTTTACAAGTGACAGCTTGTCTCTTACAGGCTCCCACAGATCTGATCTTCTGAGTAGCTCCCACTGAGTACTGGTTGGGGACAAGGGAGATGCAGGTGCCTGGGGTGCAGTGCGGATGCTGACACCCAAACTGGAAGATCTCCCTGCAAGTGAGAGAGACGGAGCTACCTACAGTGTGTGGGGAGCTACTAGAGCTGCACGTTTGCGCACCCTTTGACTCTGCAATCTGTGTGTAACCCCTTGAATTCTGCACTATTTACCTAATGCATGCCTGGTATTTAATGCTCCCTTAAGACCCTCCCACTGTTAGCGAAATATGACCATACCCATTGTTTGATGCAATTTGGAGTGTGAGTGGGGGAGTTTGGGGGCTGTGGTTGAGTTCCTGCACCTATTTTCTGAGAAAAAAAGCTTTGGCTATAGGACAAATAAAGTTACATCAATATTTAGAGCCTAAATTGGGACTGAATTGAAAATTAATCTCCAACTTCTTTTGGGACAGTTTGTGTCAACTCTACTGGACTGCTTCTATGACCAGCTCCAGCGACCTCTCCTGGCATGTTCCAGTGCTCCAGCACTGTAAAGGTGCCATACATATTATTTCTGCAGTTGAACCTCAGTTGCAAATAGAGGGAGTCTATACCACATTTTTACAGCTCTTACTGCGAAGAAACCTTTCCGTATTTGGAGATTAAATCTCTTTTCTTCCAGACGTAAAAGTGCCACCTTGTCCTCTGTGATGACCTTAAGGTGAATAACTCTACACTGAGTTCATTATATGGACCAATTATGTATTTATACATGGTGATCATATCCCCCACTTACTTCTAACATTCAGTTCATGTATTGTCACTGGATAAAAAAAAAATCATACGTTGCAGCCAAACCTGCCTACAAAATACTTTTTTAAAGCTTTAATTAGTTAGATTGGAGTGCTGCTGTCATACACTGCTCAAAAAAATTAAAGGAACACTTTGAAAACACATCAGATCTCAATGGGGAAAAATATCATGCTGGATATCTATACTGATATGGACTGGGTGATGTGCGTAAACATGCCGTTTGATGGAAACAAAAATTATCGACCTAGAAAGGACTGAATTCAAAGACACCCCGAAAATCAAAGTGAAAAAATGATGCAGCAGGCTAGTCCATTTTGCTGAATTTTCATTGCAGAAACTCAAAATGGTCCTCAGTGGTTTGTATGGCCCCCACGTGCTTGTATGCATGCCTGACAATGTCAGGGCATGCTCCAAATGAGATGACAGATAGTGTCCTGGGGTATTTCCTCTCAGATCTGGACCAGGGCATCACTGAGCTCCTGGACAGTCTGAGGTGCAGCCTGGCAGTGCCGGATGGGCTGAAGTATGATATCCCAGAAGAGTTTAATTGGATTTTGGTCAGGCAAGCTTGAGGGCCATTTAATGGTATCAATTCCTTCATCCTCCAGGAACTGCCTGCATACTCTCACCACATGAGGCCGGGCATTGTCGTGCACCAGGAGGAACTCAGGACTCACTGCACCAGCGTAGAGTCTGACACTGGGTCCAAGGATTTCATCTCGATACCTAATGACAGTCAGGGTGCCATTTTCTAGCCTGTAGAGGTCTGTGCATCCCTCCATGGATATATCTCCCCCAGACCCATCACTGACCCACCACCAAAACGGTCATACTGAATAATGTTATAGGCAGCATAACGTTCTCCACGGCTTCTCCAGACCTTTTCACGTCTGTCACATGTGATCAGGGTGAACCTGCTCTCATCTGTGAAAAGCACAGGGTGCCAATGGTGGACCTGCCAATTCTCGCGTTCAATGGCAAATGCCAGTCGAGCTCTATGTGCCCACTAGAGGACATCAGGCCCTCAGGCCACCCTCATGAAGTCTGTTTTTGATTGTTTGGTCAGAGACATTCACACCAGTGGCCTGCTGGAGGTAATTTTGTAGGGCTCTGCCAGTGCTCATCCTGTTCCTCCTTGCACAATGGAGCAGATACTGGTCCTGCTGATGGGTTAAGGACCTTCTATGGCCCTGTCCAGCTCTCCTAGAGTAACTGCCAGTCTCCTAGAATCTTCTCCATGCTCCTGAAATTGTGCTAAGAGACACAGCCAACCTTCTGGCAATGGCATGTATTGATGTGCCATCCTGGAGGAGTTGGACTGCCTGTGCAACCTCTGTAGGGTCCAGGTATTGCCTCATGCTACCAGTAGTGACAATGACCCTAGCCAAATGCAAAGCTAGTGAAAAACAGTCAGAAAAGATGAGTAGGAACAAAAATGTCAGTGGCCTCCACCTGCAAATCCTTTCCTGTTTTGGGGGTCGTCTCATTGTTGTCCATGTAGTGCACCTTTTGTTAATTTAATTAACACCAAAGCAGCAGAAACTGCTTAACAACCCCCTCTGCTACATAACTGACCAGATCAATATCCCAGAAGTTTAATTGACTTGATGTTACACTGATTAAAAAGTGTTCCTTTATTTTTTTTTGAGCAGTGTATTTAAGATAATCAATAATGTAAAACTTTAAAACAATTAACATCCAAAATATGCTATGGCAGAATACAGTGCCGCTGATTTTGTTTGTGGCAATTTGTGCAGTTCCATAATACCCACTACCACCAAGCATGCAATTAAAAGGATTGATGTTTGCAAAAAAAAAGGTGAACCCTTTCAATTGATTATCAAGATTTTCCCCTCCCCATATACTTCAATAGGGTTAAATTTTAGGTTTGAAGTTTTTGGTCTTCATGCAGGATTCATTGAACACTACACAAACCAAACCCAGGTACATTCACTCATCCATAATTTGGACAAATTCTCACAGACACATTACAAAATCTTGTTGAAAATAATCCCAGACCCCAATGTTGTTAAAGATGGAGGGGGGGGAGATAACTCCTTACTAAAGCCCATGGCTTTGGAATACAATATTCAACAAGCTGATATAGCTATGTGTTCTTATACTTTTGGCCATATGGCGTAATATGGACAACAAGGACTTTTTATGTTCTCACATTGCCCAGAGGCCAACATTATTTGCAGCATGTTATCCATTATATGAAATATAAAGTTTTAATAACTGTTTTATAAACAGTTTTTCTATTTTCACTATGACCTTTTTATTTCCAAATTTCTGTACACTGAATCTTTAAAGGGTGCAGAATCTATGTATGTAATCACTGACACCATGCTGTGGTAGGACACTTGTTGATCAACTGTAGATGACACCAACTACCGTATTTTTCGCTCCATAAGACGCACCTGACCATAAGACGCACCTAGGTTTTAGAGGTGAAAAAACAAGAAAAAAAAATATTCTGAACCAATGGACTGCAGACACAGTACAGGGGATGACCAGAGACTGCGGACACAGTACAGGAGATGACCAGAGACTGTGGACACAGTACAGGAGATGACCAGAGACTGCGGACACAGTACAGGGGATGACCAGAGACTGCGGACACAGTACAGGAGATGACCAGAGACTGCGGACACAGTACAGGAGATGACCAGAGACTGCGGACACAGTACAGGAGATGACCAGAGACTGCGGACACAGTACAGGAGATGACCAGAGACTGCAGACACAGTACAGTAGATGACCAGAGACTGCAGAAATAGTGCAGGAGATGACCAGAGACTGCAGACACAGTACAGGAGATGACCAGAGACTGCGGACACAGTACAGGAGATGACCAGAGACTGCAGAAACAGTACAGGAGATGACCAGAGACTGCGGACACAGTACAGGAGATGACCAGAGACTGCGGACACAGTACAGGAGATGACCAGAGACTGCAGAAACAGTGCAGGAGATGACCAGAGACTGCGGACACAGTGCAGGAGATGACCAGAGACTGCGGACATAGTACAGGAGATGACCAGAGACTGCGGACATAGTACAGGAGATGACCAGAGACTGCGGACATAGTGCAGATGACCAGAGACTGCGGACACAGTACAGGGAATGACCAGAGACTGCGGACACAGTGCAGGAGATGACCAGAGACTGCGGACACAGTACAGGAGATGATCAGAGACTGCGGACACAGTACAGGGAATGACCAGAGACTGCGGACAGTGCAGGGAATGACCAGAGACTGCGGACAGTGCAGGGAATGACCAGAGACTGCGGACAGTGCAGGGAATGACCAGAGACTGCGGACACAGTGCAGGGAATGACCAGAGACTGCGGACAGTGCAAGGAATGACCAGAGACTGCAGACAGTGCAGGGGATGACCAGAGACTGCGGACACAGTACAGGGATGACCAGAGACTGCGGACAGTGCAGGGGATGACCAGAGACTGCGGACACAGTACAGGGATGACCAGAGACTGCGGACACAGTGCAGGGAATGACCAGAGACTGCGGACAGTGCAGGGAATGACCAGAGACTGCAGACAGTACAGGGAATGTCCAGAGACTGCAGACAGTGCAGGGGATGACCAGAGACTGCTGACCTTTGGGAAGGGAGGGGGAGCGGTTACCTGAATTTGACAGGTACCCGCTCCCACTTCCGCGGAGTTGCCTTTCCTCTTCTTCCCGGGCCGGCTTCTGTGCAGCCGGGTGCCCACTGCGCAGGTGCGAGAAGCACTTCGCTTTGTGAATGGCCCGGCGCCTTCTGGGACCCTTCATGTGTCCCAGAAGACACCGGATCATTCACAAAGCGCAGCACATGCGCAGTGGGCACCCGGCTGTCACAGAAGCCAGCGCGGGAAGACTGTGCAGTGCTGGAGCGAGGAACAGGTAAGGCCTTGCAGGAGAAAACAGCTGAGCGGCCGGCCCGGTATTCTGACATGGTGGTGCAAAAATACCGGACCGGCCGCTTTATATTCGCTCCATAAGACGCACTGACATTTTCCCCCCTTTTTGGGGGGGAAAAAAGTGCGTCTTATGGTGCGAAAAATACGGTACTTTAATACTAGCTCCTCTGAGAAGATGTAAGGAATGTCAATGCAGTTGGGAATAAAAATTACCTTGTAAGGGGGTTTCACGCCTTAGACATGATGTCCTCAAATTTCTGATGATTATGGAATTTCCTAGCTGTGAGTTTGCCTTTCCTAAACCAACCTTAGTAGACATGCTACTGTCATTCGCAGCTAACCCCTTAAATCTAAACATGGGTCGAATTGTGAATTAATTTTCTTTCGGAAAAACGTAACTAAGAATATTCATTCGAAAAGCACACCATTAATGGGCCGCAGCAATGGCCAATTTTTGTTTTGGCCATTGAATTTGAGTGATTGGGAAGTTGGGAAATTTTTGAAAAACAATGGGAAAATCATGCGAGAAATATAATTGATAAAAAAATGTGCTTGAGCTGTGACCTGGAAAGAAAAGAAGATTCCCAGCCACAAAAATTCTTTTCTGTAGCGACATGAGGTGAAATTGAAGACTTGGTTGGTCGAATTTAGAAATCAATGGTGGCACCATCGGACTACAAAATGCACAAAATTTCTGATTTTCTAAAGAAATTTTTTTTTTTGGAATTCAATGTGCTCCTTGGATCAGGTTGTCAATCACGACTGATAGGTGAGAGGAGAGTTTACCCCCACTAAGGGAAGCTTGATGGTTTGAGATCCAGGCTTTGGCTCTTAACCACATGCCACCCAGCCACTGTGTAAATACGGTGGCAGGGCGGCCCGGGCAGGCAAAACCACGTTATAAACCGTGTGTTTTGTAAACAGGTAGGGGGCGCGCGCGAGGCTCGCTGCCGCCCTTCCTGTCCCGCCGATCACAGCTGCGGATGTCAGTCACCGGGTCACAGCCAGTCCTTACCGGCTATCTCCCCGGTGATCGGCGGCAATCAGTGAGAGAGAGCACAGCTGCAGTAGCTGTGCTTTCTGTCACTTCCCTGACAGCTCGAGGACAAGCTGATTGGGGCAGAAGAGTTTCTCTCTCCCGATCAGCCTGTCCCCATCCAGCACACCCCCCCCGCCCCCTAGTAAAACACTCCCCCTCACACAGATAACCCTTCCCTGAAAAATAAAGTTAACCCCTTCCTCCCCAGTGCCATTAGTACAGTGTCAGTGTTTTTGTTTTGCACTGATCACTGTATTGGTGTCACTGGGGATGTCAGTGACCCCAAGTCAATACCCCCCAATGTCAGAATGTCCGCCGCAGTCCCACCATAAGTCGCTGATCGCTTCCATAAGTCACTGATCGCCGCCGTTATTAGTATAAAAAAAACCTAAAAATCCCAGTATCTTTCCCGCCATTTGTAAACAGTATAACTTTCACGTAAACCAATTAATTTACATGTATTGGGTTTTTTTTTTAGCAAAGACATGTTGCAGAATGCATTTTGGCAGAAATTTATGACTAAATTTGATTTTTTAATTTTTTTTTACTAGACATGTTTTATAGCAAAAAGTCCAAAATATTGTTTTTTTTCCTCAAAATGGTCAGCCTTTTTTTTTACATCGCAAAAAATAAAAACCGCACAGGCGATCAAATACCACCGAAAGAAAGCTCAATTTGTGAGAAAAAAAAAGGATGTAAATTTCATTTATGTACCGTATTTTATGACCGCGCAATTGTCCGGTAAACTAGCGCAGCGCTGTATAGCAAACAAATGGCGTAAATTGCAGTATCTATACCATAGTTTGTAGATGCTATAACTTCCACACAAACCAATCAATATACACTTATTGGGATTTTTTTTTACCAAAAACATGGAGCAGAATACATTTTGGCCTAAATTTATAACCAACTTTGAGTTTACTATATATTTTTTTATAGCTGAAAGTAAAAAATATTGCTTTTCTTCAAAATTTTTGGCCTTTTTTTGTTTATAGCGTGAAAAATAAAAAGCACACAGGTGATCAAATACCACGAAAGAAAGCTCTATTTGTGTGAAAAAAAGGACATAAATTTTGTTTGGGTGCAGCATTGCATGACCGCACAATTATCAGTTGAATTAGTGCAGTGCCAAGTAGCAAAAAGAGGGCCTGGTCATTAAGGGGGGTAAATCCTCTGGAGGTCAAGTGGTTAATCAAAGAAGCAAAAAAGTCAGGAGCAGTAGAAGAAGCCTCTTAAAAAGGCCCCTGTGGACCTAAAGTATGTCTGATGACCTGTGTAGGACTTTATACAGTTGTTTCTGGTTGATGACACTTGGATTTTTTGTATGGATCACACATTTTTTTAATCATCTACTATCTTTCAAAAGTCATGTATGAATACAGCAAAACAAATAGATCTTTTTTACAGGGGCTTATTACTAGAGATGAGCGAATTTCTCAAAAATTCGATTCTGCTGATTCGGCGAATTCCAGTATGAAATTCGATTCGATGCGAATTAATTCGCTACGAAGTTAACTTATTAAAAGGGTTTCTAGGCTTCAGAGAGCCTTTAAATTAGTGCAGAACACTGTACCTTTAATTTAAATGCCCTTGGAGATGAGGAAGGAGAAGGAGAAGGATGAGAAGAAGGAGAAGGAGAAGGATGAGAAGAAGGAGAAGGAGAAGGATGAGAAGAAGGAGAAGGATGAGAAGAAGGAGAAGGAGAAGGAGAAGGATGAGAAGAAGGAGAAGGAGAAGGATGAGAAGGATGAGAAGAAGGAGAAGGAAAGAAGGAGAAGGATGAGAAGAAGGAGAAGGATGACAGAAGAAGAGAAGGATGAGAAGAAGGAGAAGAAGGATGAGAAGAAGGAGAAGGATGAGAAGAAGGAGAAGGATGAGAAGAAGGAGAGAAGGAGAGAAGAGAGAGAATGAGAAGAAGAGAAGAAGAAGGAAGAAGGATGAGAAGAAGGAGAAGGAGAAGGATGAGAAGAAGAAGAGAAGGGATGAGAAGAAGGAGAAGGATGAGATGAGAAGAAGGAGAAGGAGAGGATGAGAAAGGAGAGAGAAGGAATGAAGGATGAGAAGAAGGAGAAGGATGAGAAGAAGAGAAGGATGAGAAGAAGGAGAAGATGAGAAGAAGGAGAAGAGAAGAAGGAGAAGGAGAAGGATGAGAAAGAAGGAGAAGGATGAGAAGAAGGAGAAGGATGAGAAGAGGAAGAAAGGAGAAGAAGGATCCCGCCTCCAGATAGAAGGAGATATCTCCGGATGAGAAGAAGGAGAAGGATGGAGAAGAAGGAGAAGGAGAAGGATGAGAAGAAGGAGAAGGAAGGAGAAGATGACCTCATCGCCTCCGGCAGAAGTCTCCAAGGAGAGTCTCCTCCTTCTCCTTCTCCTCCGGATCTCCTCCTTCAGGAGAAGGATCCTTCATCTCCTTCTCCATTCATCTCCCTCCTTCTTCTCCTTATCATCTCCCTTCTCCTTCTCCTTCAGAAATCCATCCTTCGCCTTCTCCTTCATCCTTCTCCTTCTCCTTCATCTGAATGGAGAAGGAAAGTCCCTCTCCCTCCTTCTCCTAGAGGATCACTCTCCTGACAAGTTCTCCTTCATTCTCCTCCTCCATCAGGAGAAGGATGAAAGCCTGTGGAGAGCTCCTGATGAGAAGAAGGAGAAGGAGAAATAGAGAAGAAGGAGAAGTCATCCTCAAGGATCCTTCTCCTTCTCCCTGTTTCAAATCCTCCTTCTCCTCATCTGAGAAGGATCAGAAGAAGGAGAAGATCAGTTCAGGAGAAGGTTCTCCTGAGAAGACCTCCTTCCCTTCAATGAGAAGTAGGAGAGGAAAGGATGAGAAGAAGGATCTTGAGAAGAAGGAGAAGGATTCTGAAGATGGAGACATTCCCTCCTCCTAAGAAAGGGTTCAGGAGAAGGTATGAGAGTGGAGAATCCCATCTCCTCCTTCCTGTCTCCTTCAAGTCCTCCTTCTGACAGAAGGAGACATCCCTCCAGACAGCCTTCAAGAAGGAGGAGGAAGAAGATGAGAAGAAGTCCTGAGAAGAAGGAGAAAATTCTATTTCTCCTTCATCCTATCTCCATTCCCTCCATACAGAAGGAGGAGTCAAAGGCTGTATGGAGGGAATGTCCCAAACTGTCATAAATAGTCTATTTCTGACAGTTCTGGGACATTCCCTCCATACAGCGGTTTCAACCGCTGTATCTGAGGGAATGTCCCACTAGAACTGTCAGAAAATAGACTATTTCTAACAGTTCCTGGGACACTTCACTCCTCCATAGAAGCTTGAAACATTGTATCTAAGAGTTTCCAAAAAATGGATCCATTTATGGAAACAAATAGATACAATGTTTCAACCGCTGTATGGAGTGGAGTGTCCCAGAACTGTCAGAAATAGTCTATTTCTGACAGTGAAGTCCTCAGAAATAGACTATTTCTAACAGTTCTGGGACATCCTCCATACAGCGGTTGAAACATTGTATCTATTTGTTTCCATAAATGGATCCATTTATGGAAACAAATAGATACAATG